TTTGGTATGACTCGGCCGGGGATAGAACCCACGACCTCCCGCATCCGAGGCGCACGCTCTAACCACTTGGCCACCGGAGCGGTGTCCAGATCGAGTAGACAATAAAATAAATTGTGAACTTAAGGAGTGGAATAACAGAGATCTGAGCAGAGATATGCAGCAGAATAACACGATTCCGCATATTTTAAATACAACAGTTTAATCAATAACGTCAACGAAATGAAACTGAAAATGACATTTGAATGATTCGCTTACTCTCAAAGATAGAGTTACTAAATTATGAGAAATTCAGTTAGCCGTTCCGTTTTACTGACACAACACATATCATCATATGATTGAGTGAATGATTGAACTCAGATTACCGCCTCTGAACTGAAGGAAAATTTGAAGTAACAATTTCAAATGAATAAATTCAACAATAACTGCAACCATACACCAGTGAATACATTGTATGTGATTGAGACTAGCCATGCCTTCCGAGCCCTAGCTCGCTTATCATCAGAGAAGTCCCCCCCCCCGGGTTTCTTCTCTGGATACGGGTATGTCAATTTGTAGACTAAAATACCCCCACCATTGTCTCTTGGACGGTTTATTTAACGAGAAATGTATTGTGTATTGATCTCGAATCCCCTGAGACAACCCCACCCCCGCCAGCAAAAAAACTTGCAATGACTAATATCGCGAAGGAGATTAATTTAAAACCATAAATTCCGTCTGGGAACATACGTCCTATTGTTTAATCAGCCAATCATGATTACTACTTTAACCATCCAAAATGTTTATGACTCCCATCGAAAAAAGAATAATCCTATCTAGTCCGCCTTTATTAACAACTAATCTGGAAAATATCATTTTATGATATATGTTTCCTACGGCCACCTACTTCCTAAAATTTTCGATAGTTCACCTCAAACCCCTGACATTTACCGCTATTGACTTTGTATTAGTACCGCGCGCTTATCTAGCCTAACCATTAACTGCTTGGGTCCTAATTAAAATTTAATCCATGCCCCAAGCAAAAAAGATTCCATCCCTCGCGGTCAACAATTTATGCGAGTCCAACCCATTCGTCAAAAACTTAATGGTTAGGTGTCTCGCTGACCACGACAGAATGTACTGTGAAACTATTCTACAGAAATTATTCAATAAAATTTTGCACCATTACACAGACGATAAACATGCTAGCAAGCATATGAGAACATTTAAAATAAAATGATTACATGTTCAAAACTCAAAACTGACTTCTACAACTTTGATTAAACTTCTGCGATGTAATAAATGAACTAAAATAAATCTAACAGGACATAACATGGTAAGTACGTTATTGACGGAATAACAGATTTAGAATGCCATGCTTCAATGAATGAATGAATGAATGAATGAATTAATAATAATAATAATAATAATAATAATAATAATAATAATAATAATAATAATAATAATAATAATAATAATAATAACAAGAATAACAATAATTATAATAAATGTCCTTATTTTAATAGGATAACATTTTTAAGCTAACGATTCATGTTTTCTTCATAAACATATATTACCTATAAGTTATCATCAGAAAATTTATAAGTTTGACTCTAAACTCACTGTTGTTGTCATTTATAGAATGTTTCTGTGGAATTGTGTCCAATGTTTTTACACCAGACCAACTAAATTATGTTTTTAAAAGAGGCCTGAAATTGGCCTGAGCAAATATAGATTTTCCATCGAACATAACTTCAATATATACTGGCAGCTTATAAATATATGAAATTGTTTAAATGCAGAATTAATATCTTTTGACCCAAAACCATTTAATGTGTTGTATATTTGGACATCCGTTTGATATTTAATTCTATATTCAAAGGATTGCTAGCTGTCATGGCGGGTTTATCACTGTCCTCGACGCTTGTTTTTGAATCTTTATTACGTAGCTTAAACTGTTTCTATGAGAGTTGTCTCCAAATAAATGCACCATTATCAAGAATGGAAGTAATGTGAGACTTATAGAGTCCTGGTCGTGCTTTAAGAAAGATATTTGTTAATTCAATTACTCCGTTGGTTGATGCTCTCCAAAACTTTGAAGCTAGAATGCTATGCTTTTCTACTTTATAACGCTCAAGAATATACGAAAACGCATGTAATACTTCAATAGCATTTCATGTAGACACGTTCATGATATGGACTATTCTTTTTTAAATTCAGATTTTTTAACCATAGTAATCTTACATGATAATTGCTGAATCTTTTCACTGCACGAATCCAGCATGAGACAAAGGGTACAGTTTGTTGCAAAATCTTTCCTGAAAAGGAACATAGAGAACAAAGAAAACGGAAAAAGGATAAAATCCCTAAAGTACAGGGCTATTTTTCATTTTTTTTTAAGAAACCGCAGGTTATTCTCATTTGGCGGACCATCACATATTGCATCTCACCGGCTACCCCTCCCCGATTGTCTCTTACGAACTGCCAGAAACCTCTGGTATACAATGTACATGAAGCTTACCAAAACAAAGCTGAATGTCATCTATTAGTATCTTATCCAAATTTTGTGGCGCCAAACGGTTCTGTGACCACTTACAAAGGTAGATTGAAATATTAATACAAAACAAATTATGCTAAATCGCACATTTATTAAGATTAACAAACAGGAAGAATGTAATAATCTCAATTTCCTGCGAATGTTAGATTTACATATTTTGACGTCATGCACATGACGTCGTGCAGTGAAAGATTCAGCAATTATCATGTAAGATTACTATGGTTAAAAAATCTGAATTTAAAAAAGAATAGTCCATATCATGAACGTGTCTACATGAAATGCTATTGAAGTATTACATGCGTTTTCGCATATTTTTTAGCGTTATTGATGTCAACAACTGATTAAGGGATAAGATCATACTATCTGTTTGGCGCAGACAATCAGCGAAATGGCGCAGTTTTGAATGTAGTTTCTCCATATTTATCCGTACAAATTCTCTGTGCAGAAATATACTTTGGGGAGGCTGATATTACTTGATACATATATTTTTTTTTAACAAAGGTGATATAGATGATTTGCGTTCTGAATAAATGTCCAGCGTTTCATGAACTACTTCAGATATCAAAAAGAAAAATTATTTTTGAGGATTCTCATGTCTGTTTACACGATGTATTCCGTTTTTGTTTTTTTTTTGTTGAGCGTTGTAATGTGAAAATGTATTAAGTTTGGGTAGATATTTATGTGAAGTGAATAGCACTTAGAAAAACATTAATGCATTCATAAATTATTCATATTAAACTAATTTAAAGATATGATCAATTGGAGTACCGGGTACGTTAATATAAAAAAAATAAGGAATTCTAACCATTAAAAAGCAGGGGATTATAACCACCATATGCGTAAAGATATAAAGAGAGTATAATGGATTCGTTTTATCCTTCCGTCAGTTCGTTACAGGTTTATTTACTTGGTATATCCTGAACCACCTGAACTATATACATCAAACTTTGTATGTTTCCTATGGTTTCCTCTCCAGTTTCCTATTTTTAGTATTTCCGTTTTTTATGATTAATCTTTGACCCAGATGTTTTACCAAAATTTTCATATTCCTATGGTTTCCTCTCTAGTTTCCTATTTTTAGTATTTCCGTTTTTATGATTAATCTTTGACCCAGATGTTTTACCAAAATTTTCATATTCATTTCGAGATGTTTAAAAGAATTCGGGTCGTTTATGAGGTTTGTTCAGTCATTGGCTTGTTGAAACATTTTAAACTCTTCTCGTAGATTTGGTATCTTAATCCCTTCTATAAGTTTGTTTGTCCTTTTTTTTTGCTTAGTATCTCTATGGTTATTACATATAATAGCTTTGACAGAGGGCATTCTTGTCGTACTTACTTCTGTATTTCAAATTTTTTCCGTAATACTTCCATTAACCTTTACTCTTGCAGTTATATCCCTTTACAGGATTTAATTCCAATTTTGGAAATATTCTCCAAAACCAAATTTTTCTAGTACCTGTTGTACATAGTCTTGCTCAATTCTACCAAAGCACAACACAGGACCAGTCTATAGTTAGACATAAAGGTCAGTCTGAACTTATGGTATTATAGAATGACGAACTTATGGTATTATAGAATGACTCTTAATTTGTGATGACCTTAAATGGGGGATAGAATTTACTATTTACTTGTACGTTTACCTATGCAATCATGTTATGTTAGCAATTTTACTGCAAAAGAAACAATGATTTGTGATTTTCCCCCTTTTTATTTGGATATTGTAAAGACTGCCGTATTGTGGCTGTACATTTCATTTTACCTTAGCTACATGCATATTACGTAACCTATCGGAATATATTTGATTGAATGTTATCAAAATTCCGTCTCGTCGTCTAACCGGAGAATAAATGTAGGGCGATGTACACATGATAATGCCGGTTAGGGTAGTGCTTTTATTTAATATTGGGGGGGGTCATTTTTAAAAAGAAGATTTTTTCAATGGAGACAAGGTCGATGACAATAAAAACAACATCGAGGAACGCAATACTTTTGGCAGTATAAAAATGGCTTTAAAAAAAAAAACTATTACCACTAACACAATTTATACACTGTAAATTTGTGAGAATTGTTTTAGGCTGAAAATAATTTGTCCATATAATATTACGATTTGGCCGAAAAATTTCCTGTCAAAGAACCCATTTTCAGCAGTTTATCTTTTTCAGTTCGTTGGCGACATTCTTATTCGATGACATGCGATTTAAGCTTACATTGCTGATCTGGCCTACAATATATGTGATGTGATGTGATGTGATTATGATTTTTAACGTAGCTTTAACAATTTTTCAGTCATATCGCTTAAATGTCTGCAGTGTGGCAGTTTATAGTGATGGCTAGCACTAGGGCATCATGCCGCAGACATGTAGCATGATGTCTCACCCAGTCACATTATCCTGACACCAGGCCGGCCAGTCCTAACACTAACCTCTTAATGTTGAGCGCCAAGCGAGGAAGAAGTAAGTCTTTGGTATGACTCGACCGGGGATAGATCCCACGATCTCCCGCATCCTGGGCGGACACTCTATCCACTAGGCCACCGGAGTGGTGGCGTACGATATAAATGCTCATTCTGTGATTCCACATCGGATAAATATATTTTCCGTATCGGACACTCAGCCCGGAACTCATTTTACAACATTAAATATTCAGTTATATGCCATATTGAAAATATCGGTGTTGATTTATTGCTATAAATTTTAAATTACTTAAAAATGTCAACACACGTTTTGTAATTAACAACATTAAATATTCAGTAATATGCCATATTGAAAATATCGGTGTTGATTTATTGCTATAAATTTTAAACTAATTAAAAAGGTCAACGCACGTTTTGTAAATGTAAGAATTCAAGTAAAATTGGGTGAAAATCGCCTTTTTGCCGATGGGGATCTTGGAGTATTACCGTAATTAGCGTCGAGCAGTTTGTGGTTATTTCACGGTATCTGCTGCCGATAAATTGGATTTTGTGGAAATGGACCAGTTTGAACAAAATGTTTGATAATGAATTCTCCGACGAAGTTAGTGTGGAAAGAGACACTAATCATGACAAAGAGTTAGAGACCTAGTACTTGGACGCTAAAATTTTGCATTGAAAGTTTTAAAATTCCGGAACAGTAAGAAAGACTTAGAAAATCATGTCAAGATTCAAGGCTTTGTTAGAAATGCACCCACGATCGGAGAAAGTTTTACCATAGTTCAATTAGACACCTTAATTGTGTTGCCTGCCTGGATTTTTAATGACCTGGATGGTTTGTATCATGAACCAGATACTCATTATAGTTTAATTGAGAACGGCTACAGCATCTGATCTTCAAATGGGTTTGCTAAATGCCACAAAGGAAGAATTCTGGGCGCATTGATCTGAAGCAAAAGGATCTATGAAATTTTCTCAACCGTTCCAAGCTGATCTCATTCTCAACTGCAGCATTGATGCCGGCCAGGTCGTATTGATTGCGAGGCCCAAGAAGCCACGCTTGAAGCTGGTTCCGGTCGGTGGGTTTACTCTACTATGCCAAATTGTTTTGACAACTGGAGCGCGGGGCGAAAGAAACGGGGCGCAATGCAACCGCCTTGCCTTAAGGCCGGTCCTGCCCTGATGACAGATAAGAGTCGCTTCACAATGTAAATCATCTACAAAAAAAAAAAAATATCCAAAATCCAAAAATCATTTCAGCTTCAGGTTTCAAAAATATGGTCTGGTTAATTGTTTTTGTTTTTTTTTTTTTTAATTTAAATATAATATTGTTAAGGAGCATGTTTAAGTTGAGTGACTTTTAATTTATCAATTAAATATTTCTGAGGAGTAAAATTCGTTAAGTCATTTTGAGGATAAAATTGACAAACATTTGTAACATAAAGGTAGTCATATCTCAAAGACGCAACTTGAGAATTACATCTTGTTAAAGTGTTCACGAGACATTACTTGGGTACAAACAGGAAATGATATGTTGATTTATCTACAAAAAAAAAAAAAAAAAAAAAAAAAAAAAAAAAAAAAACGAAAAATCCACTTGCCGGTGACTGCAATATAAAACCACGTCCCATACAAAAGGTTTGAAAAATTCAAAGCTAAAGCGTAAATCGCTACATAAGCAATGCAGAGAGCGATGCCACCAGTGCAGTGTATATATCTAGGTCTAGTCCCGGTTACGTACGTCAAAAGGGGATCTATCAGTGGGTTGTACCATATATTTGATAAAACATCAAATGCCCTATCAGTTTTTTTTTAAATAATAATTTAAAAAATATAATTGAAAATTACTAAAAAAAAGGATATTTAATTAATACAAAACCACATAAGTGCTTTGTTCTGAGTTAGGCGAAAAAAAACTCGTTTGATATGTTGTAGGAAAATATGCCTCGGCCTGAAGGCCTCGACAAATTTCCACGCCGTATCAAACTCTTTACATTCACTCAGATTTTTTTCTTCACAATTTGGATACAGTATAACTGTTGTATTCAGAGAAAGAGAGCGTGTGCATAATCGATGTGCGGAAATATGTTGTACAAATCACCCTATTTAGTTGTCGGTCTGATCTTGAATAATTGTGTTGTTTTTTTTTTTTCTAGTTCATTCCGCAATCACCCCGGATTGCTATATACCACCATACGTATTTCCCCATATGGTATGAAACAGTCTATAGTTAACTATTGTCTAGTGAGAAAAACATGATATAAATATCGTCATAAAATACAAGCTAATATATTGAGTCAAAATTTGGCGAACAGTTAGTGCCTGATGCCGTGTTATCAACAAAAACAATGGCGCCCCTGGATGCCGAGTCGACTAAGGCGTCGCCTTACAAGTTACTCATATCTCCCATCTATCCGCGTGGGGCTCGAGTCTCTGGCTCGGTCAACGTGGTTATGGGAGAAAGAATGTCAGTAGTCACTGGTCCCTTCAAGGGATTTTCCCCGGATTCTTCCTCCTCCAAATATACCGGCGGCCATATACAGCCTATAGATAATGTGTTGAAAAATGTTGTTAAACCTATAACAACAACATCTAGGCACGCGATTTGCATGCATTTATTGGCTGTTGAAAAGCTATATCGGTTAAACACCGTGTGGATGTCAGTTGCCTTCCTGCACTTCGAGATTTATCTACTTTAGACATGGAACTTATACGAGTTAATCTTATTCTAAAATTCACGACCTATTATCTGGAATTATCCGGAAACACTCCCCCGATAATTAGGTGTGATACACTCACACTTTCTCTCGTCTAAACCTAAATACATATTCATAGGTAATATACACGTATACATCCTGGAACAAAAATGTGTAATACAAGAAAACAACAACAACAAAATACTATGCATCTCTTACGATGTTGGCAGTGTTACAGTTCCTAGTGATTATGTCTAGCACTGGGCAATCAATCCGCAGACATGTAGCACCATGTCCCATTCAATCAAATTATCTTGACATCAGGAAGACCAGTCCTAACACTAACCTCCCTATGCTATGCGCCAAGCGTGTCAGAATCTACTACCCTTTTTATAAATCTTTGGTATGAAAGGGACTATGATCAAACACGCGACCTCATGCATCAGAGGCGGACACTCTAACCACTTCGTCCACAAGAGTGGTCCCTAATCAAAACTCGAACAGAACAAATAAGAGACAGTCAAGAAGCGAAACGACGCAACGCAAAGTTTGACGCCCTGAACGGAATAGGATGCATATTTTTGTGTGAAATATACATCCTTCACGTCACTGAAAGGCCGTTCTGATCTGGTTATTGTATTTTCATCTGACACCATCTTAATACAACAAGCACTTAAATTTTAACGCATGCACTTTTATGATCAATTTATTTTCGTGAATATGAAATCGTTCTAACGAAAGATTCATATTTTATAGTACATGATTTCTTAAGATACTGAAACTTGCCATTTGTTTTAGAATGGCTTCGTATTGATTACAATACTACAAATCGGCAAAACAGACGTACATCTGAACAGACGTACATCTGTTTTGTTACGAAGAATGTCAGTTTATAGCATTTATAGTTTGCGATTAAGGCGCCAAATAATGGGGAGAAAAATAGAAACATTTCGTTACTATTTTCATTTCGTTTGTGTTACTTATAGAATGCTTAACTTCCTTCGTAGTTATGAACGAGTGGTAATAGAGCTTTCTTCATGAACTGCCTTTTGTCGCTCAAATATAATTGTCAGTTGTTGAGTGTAGTTATGCGTGTGTCAGGTAACGATGAAGTAAATATCAATTGAGCTCTAATAAGCAATGCAGTTTTTTTTAATTTTTTAATTACAATCAATCAAACCCTTATTCTCACGAACGAGAAGATATTGGAGACGCTGAAATTTCATACTGAAATTGTGTTCGAAACAAAGCCAGTTTATTTAACATAAAACACAAATCACACTGTGCCCCTCAGATTACCTGGCCCTCACCCTGGGAAATTCATCGGAAAAACATGCTTACGAATCAAGTCTGTTACATTAAACTATACACCTCTATAAGTAATAAATCCGTTATTTGTGGCAACCTGCAGCCTGACTTATGAAGCGTGAAAAACTAATAATGTGATACAGCTCAATTATTGCTTGTTTGCATGTTTGTCGTAGAAAACAACCTTAATTTATAAATTAGACAGGCAGGGAATATGGGTATACACACTGGCTTTGTTATAAAGCGAGTAATTTATCACCAAGGTGGAAACACATCAACCTATTGTTCGCCTACCAACCCCTCGCCGTTTCAGGGTTTCTCGATGAACCTTAAAATATTTTGAAACTATGCTTTATTGTTTTCATTTAGTGTCAAGTTAGAATTGAGTGCAACATTATCCAGTTTTTGTTGTATTGCTTCTTTATATGTTTACTCTTATAAATAACAATTATCACAGTGGAAAACCACGCGTCATCTCCGCCATGGAAACGAATAACATGTCAACAAGAATGTTAAGACCAATTCATCCAATCAGATTCCTTGATGCCATAGTAACAAGACTTGATTGCGAGTTTTTCAAAATATATTGACAAGCAAGAGGTTCAAAATTACAGGTTTCACGGGTCGGAAAGGGAGTTGGGGTTGGGGTTCGGCTGACTGTCGCGAGTGTTCTATACCTTGTTGTACTCCAAGTCCAAACCTATAGCAAACACTAAGACAGATGGAACAATGGTAAAACAGGGTCGGTAACACCTGAGCCTCATTTAAAACTGATCATATTAGTTGTACACAGTACCATGGAAACATGATCTTAAGCAGAAATATATATATATATATATATATATATATATATATATATATATATATATATATATATATATATATATATATATATATATATATATATATTAATGGGGTATTCATATTTTCAAGAGTTATGTTAGAGTTTTTTTGGTATTTTATGTCACCATATAAAGTTATCTTGGTTTGCAGGTGGTAGGGGGTGGGGTAGTATTGCTTATCATGGGTAGATCCAGGAAGATAAAGATCGCCATATTGTATACTTGTATCTTTGGGGTTTGGTGGTGTGTGGAGTTCAGACATCGGAAATGCAAAAGAATGTTTTA